CAGGGAAAGTTTATAGCATTCAGATCAAGTGCCCAGTAACACAGAAATGTGACCTGAAAAACAGCAAACAGAAACATTTATTTCAAATGTCAACTATGAAGAAAGAATGATAGGCATCAGTGTCAGTGATGAACACAAACTTGGAGGGCATAATGAGGCCAAGGAAAAATTATGTCTATCCAAATGAAATTTTCATTCATTTCCCTGGTTTCTAGTATTGCAGAGAATGAGACAATGAAAATGGTTCATACCTAGAAATCTTCTATTTGCTGGTTACTGACTGCTTTTTTTTCTTTGGATGCTCAACTTGTGCTTCCATGCACAATGGGCGGGTTGAGAGGGGAAATTTTCAAGTGATGGGAACCTCTGACGATGGCATAGTTTAAAAATACATTTAAAAGATGCACAGCCTCTAGTTTAGAGGAAAAGAGTCATGTTGAAGACATCATGTTGTGTAGTGGTTTGAGCACTGGACTAAGGACTTCATCCCACGCAATAAGTAATACATTGGGGATCATTGTTTTCCCCTTAAGCTTCACAACGCCCCATTTGGAAATTAAATGAATTACTTTCCTACCCCCATCACATGTTTTCCTTTCCCAATCACCTTAGGAATACACTTTAGAAATGATTAAATACCTGGAATCCATGATACAAGTTTGCATCATGTGATGAGCTCCTTCAGTAGTCGTTTCTTAAATGTGTAGAAACACTGATTTTATTGCAGCATGTAATAAAGTCTTATGACTCTGAAGACCTGGGTCCAACTCTCTGCTCAGCCATGTAAACCTTGCACAAGTTGCACTCTCTCAGACGAAGACATAAGCAAACCCCTTCTGAACAAGTCTTTCCAAGAAAAACCCATGATAGAGTCACCTTAGGGTTGCCATAAGTCAGAAACAAATTTATAGCACACAACAACAACAATTGTTTTGTGTTAAATATTGCTGGGCAGTGTGCCTGAATCTATTTAAAGGATGAATTCCAACTCCTGGTGGATTCCAAGAGTGATTTTCTTTTCCAGAAAAATGTCTAGGTGACTGGATTACAAATGACCAGTGTTTGCCAAGCAACCAAGCGATAGCTTTAGGCTCTAAAGCCTGGTCAGGGTTATTGTCCTGATCTTTGGATTAACGTCTTTGTCTAGCTCCAAAAGGCCAGGTCCTTTGTTTTACTGTCTATTAAATGATTTAATTTAATGAAGTTGAGATTGGTTTCGGAGACTGGGATACAACACAGCAGGGGAGGCGGCAACAATCCTCGGTTCCTCGCAGATGGGGAGATGTCCTTTGGGTTGAGTGATTTAGTATGTCCAGAGAATCCATTGTTCTGGATGGCCCGGCTATCAGCCCTCCGAGGTCCAGAAAAAAGAGCAATTTCCTTATTGTCCATGCAAATGGGTTTTGGTCAAGTCCTTTCTTAGGGGATTATTGGCTCAGGGAGTTTGGAGATTCCTAGAGCCATGAGTTGCTGGCATAGTTCATGAAAAGCTCACTTTGCTTCATAATTTCTTATATAGACATACACACATATAAGGAATGGGGCATGGGGGTATATACAGAGTTCATAGGGAAAGGCATGCAGGGTCAAAAGGGAATTCATTTCAGCCATCCCAAAGTTCCTAAAAGTTTCTAAAAAGTTCATGAGCGTTCATAAAAGTTATAGGGGATTATGGGGTCATTCCAACCTTGTGTCCTTGGCAAAACTATTAATTCCCTGATTATGAACTATCTTTTACAGAGCCCGGGGGGGGGGGGGGGGGGTCATCTCCGATTACACAAGGAGAGTGTTATGGCCACAAAACCAGCCATGAGGATCCACGTGTGGTCCTAGTGTACTTTCCTCACGTTTGATCTATGCACGAAGTTCCTTGCCTGATATTGTTGTTATTCTGTGCCTTCAAGTAATTTCTGATTTATGGAAAACCCATAACAGAGGGGTTTTTTTTTGGGGGGGGGGGGGGGATATTTGTTCATGGAGTGGGAGAGTCTTTGCTTGAGGATGAGATTGTGTGACTTGCCCAAGATTACCCAGTGGATTTCCACAATTGAGTGAGGATTTGAACTTTGGTCTCCAGAGTTGTAGCTGGAATCCCTATAGTCTCATGTCAATAATATAAAATATTTTCCCAATATCCACAGGGGATATGTTCCCAACCTTCCCATGGATACTGGAAACTGTGGATAATAGCAAAACTTGTTAAAATGAAGGAATTATGGCACAAGAATCCCATAATTACATGCAAGGGGAACTAGATAATGATTAGAAAGGACATATTTTGGTGGATAAATGAAACTGTGGATCCCAGTACCACTGATAGGGGGGGGGGGGGCATACTGTAATTGCATGCAAATAATAATGGTTTCTATGCTATGTCCATATTGTAGGTCAATTACAAACATGTTATGTGCCAACTGTTTCTCAAAACAAATGTTCTGATCGTAAATGATCTTTGATATGGCTGGCAGGATTCCCATTGTTACAAGGATATTTAGTTCAGATGTCGAAGTCATGTGAATTAACTCCTGCCTCTATCAATTAGCTTCACCCAATTAAAACACTACTCCAGCCTTACTTACACTCTTTACCTTGAAAGAACCCAAGAAATGATTTTCAGGACTCAGAAAGTTGCTGCATTGATTAAAAAAGTATAAAAATGATGTTATTTTTGAATCAAAATTATTGAGGATCCCTGGAGACATAATACAAAGATTTTTTTTTAAAAAAAAGATCTTTAGACATTAGTAAAATGCCTAAAGATCAACCCTTGAAAGTAAGTTCCATTGTGTTCAGGAGGTGTGAGAAAGGAAAACTTCAATAGATTTACAAGGTTGAGATTATACCAAGTCCTATAGATTTTCGGGCCTGAGATCAAAGGCCCTTCCACACAGCCCTATATCCTAAAATATCAAGGCAGAAAACCCCACATTATCTGAGTGTGGACTCAGATAACCCAGTCCAAAGCAGATATTGTGGGATTTTCTACCTTGATATTCTGGGATATAGGGCTGTGTGGAAGGGCTCTAAGGCCCCTTCTACACAACTGTATAAAATCCACATTGATCTGGATTATATGGCAGTGTGGACTCAGATAATCCTGTTCAAAGCAGATATTTTGGATTATCTGCTTTGATATTCTGGGTGATATGGCTGTGTGGGAGGGCCTCTCAGAGGTCCCTTCTTCATTGCCATATAATGCGGTTTGAAAATGCATTATATGGTCAGCATAGATTCAGGCCCCATCTACATTGTCATATAATGCGGGGGCTCTTCCGCACAGCCCTATATCCCACACAGGCAGGAAATCCCACATTATCTGAATGTGGACTCAGATAACCCAGTTCAAAGCAGTTATTGTGGGATTTTCTGCCTTGATATTCTGAGATATAGAGCTGTGTGGATGGGCCCCCAGGTCCAGAATGCAGATTAACTGAGGCCCCTTCTACATTGCCATATAAAATCCAGATTATCTGCTTTGATCAGTTGGATTATATGACAATGTAGAAGGGCCTGAAGTCTACACTGTCATATAATCCAGTTCATAGCTGATAACCTGGCAGTGTATAAGGGAGATCTCATATAACCCAATTCAAAACAGATGATGTGTTATCTGCTTTGATAATCTGGATCATATGGCAGTGTAGAAGGAGCCTGAGGGCCCTTCCACACAGCCATATAACCCAGAATATCAAAGCAGAAAATCCCACAAGAGCTGCTTTGAGTTGGGTTATCTGAGGGCCCTTCCACACAGCCCTATATCCCAGAATATCAAGGCAGGAAATTCCACATTATCTGAGTGTGGACTCAGATAACCTAGTTCAAAGCAGATATTGTGGGGTTTTCTGCCTTAACCCTCGGTTATCTGAGGTGCCTTCCACACAGCTGAATAAAATCCCACATTATCTATTTGAACTGGGATGTATGGTGGTGTGGATTTGGATAACCCAGGGCCCTTCCACACAGCCCTGTATCCCAGAATATCAAGGCAGAACATCCCACATTATCTGAGTGTGGACTCAGACAACCTATTTCAAAGCAGATATTGTGGGATTTTCTGCCTTGATATTCTGGGATTTAGGACTGTGTGGAAGGGCCCTAAATTCAAAGCAGATATTGTGGATTATTCTGCCTTGGTACTGAGTGTTATATGGCTGTGTGGAAGGGCCCTAAATCCACACTGCCATATATTCCAGTTTAAAGCAGATAATGTGGGATTTTCTGCCTTGATATTCTTGGATAAAGGGGTGTGAGGAAGGGCCCTAAGTTCAAAGCAGATATTGTGGGTTATTCTGCTTGGATACTGTGGGTTATATGGCTATGTGGAAGGGCCCTGAGTCCACATTGCTGTATATCCTAGTTCTAATCAGATAATGTGGGATTTTATTCAGCTTTATGGAAAAAGCCTGAGTCCACGCTGCTATGCCTTAGGTGATCCCTCGTTTTCCGAGGATGATTGTCTTTCAGTGTTCTTGTGGGTCCATATGTGGCTGTGGAGCCCTATTCTTGCTCTGCATCTTCTTCCGCAGTGAGGGCATTGGTTTCCAGGTGGCAGGCGGTCTCGGTCGGGGTTGGCTTGACGTGCCTTCCTCTTGGCACGCTTCTCCCTTTGTGCCTCTTCAAATTCTACAGCACTGCTGGTCACAGCTGACCTCCAGCTGGAGTGGTCAAGGGTCAGGGCTTCCCAGTACTCAGTCTATGCCAGAGTTTTTAAGGTTGGCTTTGAGCCCATCTTTAAATCTCTTTTCCTGTCCACTTTAAATCTCTTTTCCGTTCTCTGCTATATAATGCAGTTCAAAGCAGATATGCCCTACCACACAACATTAACCCACAGTGTTATTCTTCCATTTGAGTGGCTAATGACAACCATGCTGAGAACTGTAGTTCATGGAGAGGCATTCAGCCCCCTCAGCCAAGGCCCCCTAGCCTGGCTGGACTACAACCCCCAGAATGCCTCGGGGTGCGGCCAGAGCCGGGAGAGAGGCAGAATGAGCGCGGCGGCGGCCGCTGCAAGGGGCGGGGCTTAAGCCCTAACCTGCCTGAGAAGCATCACGACGCCGGGAAGGTCGGTGGATGGAGAGCCTGAGCCATGGAGTACATCCGCATGCCCAAGGTGAGCCAGGAATGCTTGGAGGTGGGAAGGAGCCCCCAGCCTTTCATGCAGGATCCCTTTAGAGCAGCTTTCCATTGGATTGGGGGCATTGCTATAAGGATCTGGGAAAGCCAGGATGCTCTCTGATCCATGGCTGCAGCATCCATTGCTGCCTGTCCATCTTACATAACATTCCCATAGGAGTCAATTTCCCATAGTGATTAAGGGAGGCATATTTTCCCCTATAAGGCCAAAACAAGCATCTTCAAGACAGCACAGATGGGACATCCGCTTCCCTTGTTTACTAAATGCCCCACCATATTTTTCTCAGTAGCCAAATGAAGGCAAACAGAGCATCTTCAAGTAGGCCCCTTCCACACAGCTGAATAAAATCCCACATTTTCTGCTTTGAACTGGAATGTATGGCAGTGTGGACTCGGATAACCCAGTTCAAAGTAGAGATTAGGGGATTTTTTGCCTTGATATTCGGGATTATAGGGCTGTGTGGAAGGGCCCACAGAATCTCATCCATTAATCCCACTGTTTTGTTGTATATTTTGATAAATCAACAAATAACAACAATAATATAGTGGTAATTCAGGTTAATGTGTTGTCGGAGGCTTTCATGGCTGGAATAACTGGGTTGCTGTGGGTTTTCCAGGCTGTATGGCCATGTTCTAGAAGCATTCTCTCCTGACGTTTCACCTGCATCTGTGGCAAGCATCCTTTTTCAGGTTGTATGGCCATGTTCTAGAAACATTCTCTCCTGACATTTCGCCTGCATCTGTGGTAAGCATCCTTTTTCAGGTTGTATGGCTATGTTCTAGAAGCATTCTCTCCTGACGTTTCGCCTGCATCTGTGGCAAGCATCCTTTTTCGGGTTCTAAGGCCATGTGCTAAAAGCATTCTCTCCTGACGTTTCATGTGCATCTGTGGCAAGCATCCTTTTTCAGGTTGTATGGACATGTTCTAGAAGCATTCTCTCCTGACGTTTCGCCTGCATCTGTGGCAAGCATCCTTTTTCAGTTGTATGGACATGTTCTAGAAGCATTCTCTCCTGACGTTTCACCTGCATCTGTGGCAAGCATCCTTTTTCAGTTGTATGGCCATGTTCTAGAAGCATTCTCCCCTGACGTTTCGCCTACATCTGTGGCAAGCATCCTTTTTTAGGTTGTATGGCCATGTTCTAGAAGCATTCTCTCCTGACGTTTCACCTGCATCTGTGGCAAGCATCCTTTTTCAGGTTGTATGGCCATGTTCTAGAAGCATTTTCTCCTGACGTTTCGCCTGCGTCTGTGGCAAGCATGCTTGCCACAGACGCAGGCGAAACGTCAGGAGAAAATGCTTCTAGAGCATGGCCATACAACCCATAAAACCTACAACAACCCAGTAATTCCGGCCATGAAAGCCTTCGACAATAATAACATGACTGCCCTCTCTAGAGAAGTACATGACGTAATTGCTGCGTAAATAAATATATTACTGCCCAGCTGGAAGATTACAGTGAATCATATGCCAGGCAATGATGCTATATGTAACCTGAATTACTTTGGACTAAATAGCAATATTAAGGATAAAGGGAAAGTTATTGTCTATTTCGAAAAAGGATTCTTGAGGCCTGTTTTTCAAATACTGCTGGTATATTTTTAGGACTCTGAAGAATGGCCTCTTGTTCTTAGGTTTTATACTATTAGGCCTCAAGGCCTTTGACGGGAAATCTGATATGATCATAGAGGAATATTGTTTCCTCTATTAACCAAAAAACGCCTTGTTTCTGCTTTGTTTTTGCAATTTAAGCAACATGGATGAATTTAAAATTAATCCTGATATCTGACTAGCACAATGTAAATTATGTGAAGACTCTGTGTATAAGGTGATACATTATTCTAAAAGATTGGGACTTTAAAAAATCATTATTAAGTGGGAGACAAATATATTCTGTTTGACAGGGTCGGATGTGCTAGCATCCATTGGCTCATTTTTTATTGATTTATTGGGCACCATTTCTCGAGATTTTCTTTTAGTTCTGTTTCTAGCCCTGGTGATTATTTAGAAAAGCTTGCAGACATTCCAATGTGCGTCATACTGTTCTTCCCTCTTGCTGAACAGAAATGCTAATGTACTTGCTAGTTGAGTGATACAAGTATAATGAAAATATCCACTCTTTATAAATTATTTTGTTTAGTATGCTGATTGTTAAATGTGGACATAAATTTGTGTTTGCAAAGGAAGATTTAGGCCCCTTCTACAATGCTAAATAATCCAATTGATCAAAGCAGATAATCCACATTATCTGTTTTGAACTGGATTATATGAGTCTACACTGTCATATACTCCAGTTCAAAGCAGATAATCTGGATTTTATATGGCAGTGTAGAAGGGGCCTAAGCTGCACTGCCTTGTATTCCTGGATCTGATTCCAGATATCTTCTTTGAACTGGATTATATGAGTACTAATCTGGGATAAGTAGATAATCTGGGATCAGATCCTGGGATATAGGGCAGTGTAGATCTAGCCTAAATGTTGTAGAATTTGTTTCTGAAGTTGATGTTGAGGAAGATATGCATGCTTTTGACAGTAAGGAGAGATGCTAATGTATTATTGTTGTTATTCTCAATTCAACCCTGACTTATAGTTCAATTAAAATAATATTTGAATGAAGACAAGTACTGTTCCCAAAGGTTGGGGGTGGGGGGAAGAAGAGAGGGGTGTAAAATCGATAGACACAAGTGGGAGATAAAGGTGGAATATTGTCCGAACAGTTATCTCCCTATGAACTATCTCGGAGCTGAAGATTGTATGAGGAGGCCCTGCTCTCGATCCCGTCTCCTTCGCAGGTGCAACTGGCAGGGAAGAGAGATGGGCCTTCTCAGTGGTGGTCCCTCGGCTGTGGAATTCTCTCCCTCATGATATTAGATCAGCTCCTTCTCTCCTGATCTTCTGTAAGAAAGTAAAAATGTGGCTTTTTGATCAAGCCTTTGAATATCCTATGCAGTAGATTAAAATTGGAATTATGTGCAGTGAGTATTGGAATGGCCCAGACTATGACTTTGTATACCATGGCTAACAGTGAAGGCATTGTTTTATATGTTTAAATGTATTTTATAATTGTATTTAAATGTTTATTTTAACTTTACATTGTTTTGGAATGCATCAAATAGTTGTTTAAGTGTAAGCTTCATTGAGTCCCTCTGGGGTAGAGAAAAGCGCGATAGAAATGTTGTAAATAGGGTGGAGGAATTGGCCAAGATATAAGGACATATTAGTGAAAGGGAAGATGGAGATTAAATCATTTGAACAATTAAAGAGTCTATATGGCAATATAACTTGGTTAAATTACCTTCAAATAAAGGAATATTTTAAACAGGACCAAAAAACCGGTTTTGATTGGAAGGAGAATGTATGGGACAAAATATTAAAAACGCAAAAGAAAACTGTTACAATAATATATAATAAATTACTTCAGTGGCTGACGGAAACCGAACAGGTAAAAAATTGTATGACTAAATGGGCTGAAAACTTAAGAAGACCCATCCACTTTGGGGAATGGGAAACGATATGGAATAAAAAATTAAAATATACATATGCTATGGATTTGAAAGAAAATTGGTATAAAATGTTTTATAGGTGGTATTTGACCCCGAATAAGTTAAGTCATATGTATCAAAATATATCAGATAAATGCTGGAAATGCAGTGAGCAAGTAGGTACATTTTACCACATGTGGTGGACATGTAAAGAGACAACTAAGTTCTGGTCGAATATACATGAAGAGATGCAAAAAATTTTTAAGAAAAGATTTAAGAAGAAACCTGAGTATTACCTTCTTGGACTATCAGACTCTGAGTTGAAAATGGAAGAGAATGAAGATAAATTATTTACTTATTGTACAACGGCAGCTAGGATGATATATGCTAAATGCTGGAAGACTGCTATAATTCCAAGTATTGAAGATTGGTGGATAAAAATTAAGGAGATAAGAGATATGGACGAATTGACCTTTTTGTTGAAAAGGAACAATGGAAAAACTTTAAAGAGGACAGATTGGTCCTCTATATATGACTATGAGAAGAAAGTTAAAAAATAAAGAGATAAGAATAGATTTTAAGGAGAAGAAATTTATAGAGAAGATCCTGAGGATGGAGTGGAAGTCATTTTAGAATAGTTTAGTTAGCTGTATTGATTGTATTTAGATGTGTGTTATGTTTTGGATGTTTTTTTTTTTTTTTTTTTTTTTTTGTACTTCTTTCTTTTTCTTTCTTACTGTTCTATCATCTTGTTATTGTTCTCCTTCTTTCCTTGTGTGGATTTGTAGAAACTATAATAAAAATTATTTAAAAAAAAAAAAAAGAAATGTTGTAAATAAACAAACAAATAAATCTATTATCGTCTGGAAAAGTGGTCTTCAGGCCCCTGGGGATTCAGTGTCCTTTGAGAAGATCCATGAAGGTTTGAAGAAATGTTATGAGCTTTTACAGTTAAAATAGAAAGAAAGGAGGGCGGCAGGCAGGCGGGCTGATCTCAAAGAGCAGGAGTCTTTGGCCAATGATAGATATCATTTCTACAATACCTCAAATTGTTTAAAAATTAAGTTCAGCCTTGGTGGTCCACAGCAACAAAAGATATTTAAAGAGGTCTGTGGTAAAGAAAATGTTAAGAACTTCTGCTCTGGAAGCAAACCACTTGTTTTCACTTTGGGCTACAGCAGTTCCTTCCATTGTAAACCAGTCCTCATTGGTGCAATGAACTGCTGCTTTATTTGTTGTAAGCAAGCATTGATGTAAAAATGATCATAAACAATTAATGAGATTTTGAAAGTGAAGTCCTTAGAGAAACTGCTAAAACCTGAAACAGCTGCAGGGTGTGATGATGAGACAATAACAGGCTGCCCAATGAATGTCAGCCAAGGTGGGGTGGGGTAGGGTAACACAAAACAATATTGTCTAGTTTGGATGCATTGTGTCAGCTAGATGAATGGGTCACTACTGATGCCAAGAAGTAGATTGGCTCCAAAGCCATG